GGGGGGGGGGGGGGAGGGCACCCGCTCGCCCCCCCTCCCTTTTTTCCTGCTCTGCCAGGCCTGTGCTCGGATGAAGGGTCTGGTTGGGAACCCCCCATTTTTCGGGGTGGGGTTCCTCCTTAAAATTCCTACCGGACCTTAATGGCCTTGTATCACTTGAAGGGGGAACCCCACACACTTTTTTTAGTTTTTTTTTACATGGGGTCCCTTTTAAAATTCCTACCAGACCTTAAGGGTCTTGTTTGACTTTTGGGGGGAACCCCATGCTTTTTTTTAATGGGATCCCTCCTAACATTCCTACCAGACCTAAAGGGTTCGGTATTGTTTGGGAGGGGGAACCGCTCGCTTTAAAAAATGTCAGTTTTGCTCAGCAGATTCTATACATTGTACAGATCCGCCACTTTGCAGGCAGTTTAAGGGGACCACCCAGGCACGATGTTTCATTTTCACTGTTACACTTTAAGTGATGTTAAAATCACTGCTCCTTTAAAAATGAGATTTTTTTAAACTTTTTTTTTCATTGATTCCTGTCCTCCAGGGCAGTACCCGGACCCCCATGCACCTTTTATGGACAATAACTTGCATATAAGCCTTCTTAAAAGGGACAATCATTTTCGAAAAAGTTCGACCCCCATAGATTTACATTGAGTTTGAGCTTCAATTCAAACTTTTCCCATGTTCGAACGTTTGAATGCGAACCTTAGTTCGGCCCATCACTAATGGAGACATCAGGGGTCTATTAGATCCTTAACGTCACCTATAGACCCAACAGAAGCTGCCAGAGAAATGAGACTGAAGGTGCAGGGGATGAAATCCTCGTCACATCCAGAGATCAGACATTGGAAGTCTGCCGACCTCCCCGCCAATCAAGCCACACACACGCCAGCAGCTCTGGTCCCGGGACAGCGTAGCTGGTGGGGGTGGGGCGGCACCCTTTTTAGCAGCAGCCATGATCTTGGTATAACCTCTTTGGGACCGCAGCATTTATATATGTATTATGGTCCTGCAGTGGTTAAAGATTGGCCTCCCGTTGACTTCCATAAGATTTGGAATAACGGTAAACTTTGGGCCAGCTCGGCGAACCTGCTGGGAATGGAACCTGTCTGTCTCACCCTGAGCTGCAAATATCAAGTCTCTGTAATCTGAAGAAGAGATTCAGCGGCAGATGTTTTGCTTCTGAGCAGTCTCAGCCCATCAGACACATTGAGGGGAAACGTGTCTCAACTGGAGCTCAGCCAATCAGATGGTCATACACTATACAATCTGATTGGCCAATCTCCTTTAGGTCTACCATTGAACATGTAGTACAAGGACATGCCTGGTACCATTTGAATGGATTGCTTAGAGGTGTGTAGAATATCACATGCTTTAGGTAAGGGTCACCTACATCATACAATCTGACCATACAATCTCTGTACAATCAAGTTTAGAGCTGCCCAAACTATGTAATCTAAGGAACTAATCTATCCTCTCACTCTGTATTCAATCAGACAGCCCCCGATCTATAGCTACATTGTAGATCAAAAGGAGCTTGTACAACCAGATTGTGATGTGTATGGTGACCCTAAATCTAAACCTAAACCACCCAATCAGTTTGTATCCAATCAGGCAGGCCCTTGCACGACATAGTTGTTGGTTGATCTAAAGCCCACCACACACGTTACTATCTGATTATACAACCTTCTTTATATCTACCAACAACTGTGTCGTGCAAGGGTTGATTGAACAACGAGTTTAGATTCTAAGGGCCGGTGCACACCTAGGCGACACCCCACCGCGTGGCAATCGTGCACGATTTCGCGCGGATTGCCGCACGGTCAGCAGTCGCCCAGGTGAGCACCGATTCCACTGTGGGTGCCATTATTTTCCAATGGCACCCCAGTCGCGTCTGGCGGATCGCATGGTTTCTCGCCGCGATTCCGCCCGTGCTTCTGAAAACGTACCCTTTTTCTGTGATGCATGGAAAATAATGGCACCCACAGCGCGATCGGTGCACACTTGGGCGACTCCTGACCGCGCGGCAATCGTTGCCGCGCGGTCAGGAGTCGCCCAAGTGTGCACTGACCCTAACATGTATGGTGATTATAAAGGAGACTGTACCAGTAAAGGCAATTGAACAATTGTATTGTAACATGTATGGTGAACAGTAACGGAGTTTGTACAATGCAGATTGTTTCAGGTATGGTGACCATGAAGCAAATTGTACATTCAGATTGTAACATGTGTAGTGACCATTTAAAGGAGAGCTCAGCAATGGCAGACGTGATTTCCTATAACTTCACTTTCTGTGCATTGAGATTGGGTGCAGCT